TTGGCCTTCTGGGCAACCCATAGCTTTCTGCTGCTGGCACAGCCCACCACATCCCAGGTTGGGGCAGACCCCTAAGTGGTTTGGTCAGACCCCCGCTGGGCAAGCCTGCAGGGACTGCCAGACCCAGCTCTGCCCTCCTGCCCCCGGGTGACCTCCCCAGCCTCAGTGTCCTCTGAAGGAAGGGATGGATTGCTCCCACCCTCAGGGCTGCTGTTGAGGGTGAGGAGCAGTGAGACTGGGCAGTGCTGAACTTGAACCTGAGCGGTGCACTAGCGTTTGTATCACCAAGAACCCCTTTGAGGTATCTCTCCCTTGACCCCATGCTTTGTATGACTGTTGAATAGTAATGATGATGCTAAAAGCGGAAATGGAATCTGTTAAGCAGAGGTGCCCTGTCCTTGTGCACGGGCAGCAGTGTGGGCCTGCCAGCAGACCCAGGTGGCCTGGGATGGCCTGGCCGGCTCGTGCTGGCCCCATGTGGGGAGCTGTGGGCGCCCTGCCCGCCAGCCCGGCACGCGGAGTGCCCTGCTCTCCTGAGGCTCTGGGAGAGCTGGGCGTTGCTCACGGGGCCGCCCCTGTCATGGGGGCCAACCCACAGACGGACCTCGGTGGCAGCACACCATAACTTACCTGATGGGTCTTGGACTTCTCCAGGAGAAGCACCTGAAATACCCAAAAGTTGGAGTGGGGACAGTAAACTAGGAGCAGGCATCGATCTTGTCATGGATGCCATGTGGTGCGCTGAGTGGGTGGAGTGTGGGGCTCCCTGTGTGAGGGAGGCACGGGGGCCGCACGCAGGGGCTGCCCGCCCCGTGGGTAGGCCGAGGGGAGCACCGTCCAGTCTGTTTGGAATCGCCCTAAGCACGGCGCATGGTGGCCCTGCCTCCAGGCTGAGTCTGTGGCGTTTGTGCAGGAAGCCGACAGACCTGCCTTCGAGTCTGCTGCCCCAGGCGTGCCGTCCACCACCACATGCCGCCTTCCTGCAGCCCGCTTGGTGCAGCAGGCCCTCGCTGAAAAGCCTTCCCAGGTGGAGCTGCGGAGAGGATGGACGGGTCATCTGGAGCGGGGCCTGGCCTTATCTCTGGAGCTGCAGGCTCCAGGCCAGTCTCGTCTCCAGGGTCAGGCACCGCTGATCTCACAGGGAGGCCCTGACACCCAGAGCTTAGGGCACCTGCCTGAGGGTCTGCAGCCAGGAAGCGGCACTTGCAGCTGAGCCCAGGCCTTTGGCTCTGGCTGGGCAGCGAGACTGTGCACTGCCTTTCTGAGGTGGTGACTGCAGACCCGCCACCCTTGAGATGGACAGAAGAGAAGCCAGTAGGCTGCAAGGACAGCTGGTCACCAGGGGCCCGGCAAAAGGCAGGGCTGGTGCCAGCAGGGAAGAGTGTCCTAGGCAGAGGGAACGGCACGTGCAGAGGCCCTGAGGTGGGAAAGAGGCTCACTGAAGCAGTGGCGAGGGTGAGTGGGAGGAGATGGGTGCTGGGCCATTGCACCTGGCAGGAGCTGTGTCCCTGTCAAGGCATGCCTCTCCTCACCAGCCTCAGTTTCCTTATTCCCTGCCTGGGGGCTGCTGTGAGGCTGGAGCAGGCCGGAGGGCTTGCCGTGGCACTGGGAGCCGAGGTGGCAGGCTTGTAGGTTGCCTGTGGCAGCCTGAGAGCCTCTGTTTGTTGTGGTGACGGGCAGGCTGCACCGGGGCTGCCTGGCCATCTGGGCTGAGCCCTGACGTCTGTGGCGGACAGTGACAGCACAGGCAGCCTGAGGCCTGTTTCTGGGCTGTCTCCATGGCGGCCTTTCCCGCCCTCTCTGACGGCTGGTGTGGCTGCCCCACGGAGCTCATGCCCCTCCTGACACAGGCCTGGAGTCCTCGACAGGCAGGTGGGTGTGGAGGCCAGGCCACCTGCTCCCCAGGCCCGGAGGAGGACAATCCTCAACCCCAGCCTGTGCAGGCACAAAAGTGCCCTTGACAGATGGGGAAACTGAGGGCTGGTGACTGGGGGAGGAGCATCATTTCATGTCCCCAAATCCCAGGGCATGAGACAGGTGGGAGGCTAGAGCCAGAGGAAGGTGAGGGCGGGTCATGAGCAGAGATGGGGGTGCTGCTGCAAACCCCAGAAGGAAAGGGTTGGGTCTGCAAGGGCTGAGAGCAAGGCCTCAGGGCTCCACAGTTTCAATTTCTTTTTTTTTTTTTTTTTGAGACAGAGTTTCACTCTGTTGCCCCGGCTAGAGTGCCCTGGCATCAGCCTAGCTCACAGCAACCTCAGTCTGGGCTCAGGTGATCCTCCTGCCTCAGGCTCCCGAGTAGCTGGGACTACAGGCATGTGCCACCATGCTGATTTTTTTTCTATATATTTTTAGTAGGCCAATTAATTTCTTTGTATTTTTAGTAGAGACGGGGTCTCGTTCTTGCTCAGTCTGGTTTCGAACTCCTGACCTTGAGCGACCCGCCCGCCTCTGCCTCCCAGAGTGCTGGGATTATAGGCGTGAGCCACAGCGCCCGGCCCAGTTTCAGTTTTTGACTTAAAACATTTTATATTCTGGTTACAAAAAGGCCCAAGTGAAGAGTAAAAGATACCTGCATTTGTCATTACTTAGGATGGATTTTTTTCACACCTGCAGAGAGGCTGGTGATAACCCTGGTGTCCATTTATGGGCCACAATAGGGCCACCACCTGCTCTCCAAGCCCTGTGTACTTGGGGGCCAGGGCCCTGGGTTCAGGCCCATCTAGCCCCTCACCTGGCTAGATCCCTGACATCTCTGATCCTGCTTTTCCCACCTGTCAGGCAGCGGCTGTGCCTTCTTCAGAGGGCAGCCGTAAGTAAGGCAGCTCCTTCCGTGTGCCCGCCTGCCTGCCCAGAGCCCATTCATGCTGACCCCATAGTACTGAGTGCCGGGGACCTGGCCACACTCCCTCAGTTGGCCTGAAAGCTGTGCACACTGGGCCCCCGGCCTGTCCCCAGGGATAGGGTTGAGGGAGGGGCTGCCTTAGGACTCCGGCCTGCCCAGTTCTGTGGGAAGGGGAGAGGGCAAGACCTCTGCAGGGGAGGAGAGAAATGGGCACCAGGCATTAGCTCCAGGGAGAGCAGATCACGGCAGAGCTGGCCTAGAGGCAGCCTTGGGCGGAACCGGCCTGTTCCACCCCAGGGCCTGGGTGTCCTCCTTTCTAGTGTGCTGTGAGCCCCGCCCCTGCCCATGGCCATGAGGCCCTGGATGGTGCTGGCTGCAGGTGCCGGCTGGCCCCTGCTCCCGTCTCACTCCTGTTGGCAGGGCTGTGGGGGACACTTCACAGATGGGGACACGGGGGCCCAGGGAGAAGGCCCCAGGGGCCAGCTCCGGGCCTAGCTCTGTCCTGCTGTGCCCATTGTGGGGTAGTGGGCCTGTCTGCCCTCCCCTGTGAGGCAGGCCCTCAAGTACCCCCACCTCGCACAGCCTGGCCGGAAGGGCAAGCTCCCAGCTCGGGCATGGCAGAGGCTAGTGCCCTTGGTGGTGGAATTGTCAAAGGGATGCTGACAGTGTTGGGTGTGGCTGTGGGCATGGGGTGCCTCAGTTTCCCCATCTGCACTGTAGGGATCAAACAGCTCTGCCCTCAGGGCCCATGCTGAGGGCTGAGCAAGCCGACACTGAGCAAGGCTGGGCATGGTAGCGGTGAGAGCACTGTGGGGCCATGAGCTCGCTGCTGTCACCTGCACTTTGACCACAGCGAGCAGCTGCCCAGCGCCCTCACCTCGCGGACAGGGATGCCATCCTGTGCGTCCCAAAAAGTAGGGGACTGTGAGAGCAGTGGGGCTGGGTTCATGTGCTGCTTCCTGCTCACTGGGGGCCTTGGCTCCGATTGCTTCTCTTTGGGCTTAGTTTCCTAATCTGAGCAATGGGGCACTGGGGGCCTCTGGAGCAGGCAGGGTCATGGAGGGAAGGAAGTTGTCCACCCGGTCCTGGGCCCCAGGCTTCATGCCTTACTCTCCTCATCATATTTTTTCCGTACTTTTCTTCCCACAAGAGCCCTTTTTGGAGTCGGCACTGCTGTTGCACAGATGGGGAGGCTGAGGCTGAGGGTAGTGCTTGCGTGCGCGGACGCAGGGGTCCGCACAGGCCTGTGGGAGCCATGCGGGGGCATGCCTGGGACCTGGTCAGTGGAGACCCCAGGCCAGGCTGGTACATCGCCCCCCCGAGACCCAGCTAGGGCCCCCAGCCCGCAATGCTGCAGACGTGGGCATCTGTGCTGCAGAGTGACAGATGGGGAAATCAAGGCTCAGAGAGGCGATGGGCCACAGAGCTGGGACCTGGAGAAAACTCGTCTGCCTCGGGCAACCTGCCAGATCAGCACGGCAGGTTGGGGCAGGGACCAGCAGCACCCACAGGCTGGGCTCCGGCATGGGGAGTTGCTGTCCCACGGCCCAGGCCAGGGGGTGTCAGCGGGGAGTTCCCTCTGAGGGCCGTGTGGGTGGGTGTGTCCCGCTCCTCCTCTTGGTGTGTCGATGGCTGTCTTCTCCCCGCCTCTCGTCACCTCCTCTTCCCTCTCTGTGTGTCTGTGTCCCAGTTTCTTCTTTTCTAAGGACACCAGTCATACTGGATTAGAGCTCACCCTACTGACTTCATTTTAATTCAGTTACTCCTGTAAAGACCCCATCTCCGAGTAAGGTCACACCCTTAGGTAATGGGTCCACATAGGAATTTTGGGGAGACACATTTCAGCCCATAACAGAAACTTAGGGCATAGGACTTCCGCATGTGCTAGGAGTGCCAGGGCCCGGTGAACACCTCAGCCACCCAGACCTGGCCCTGCCTCCAAGGCAGTGTGACCTGGGCCGCCAAACTGCCCCATCCCCATCTGCAGGTGACCCAGTTTGCCCTGGCGGGCGCCAGGCCATATATGGCCTCAGGCAGGTGAGGGCAGGCGGCTCTGGAGTGGAGGCGGCCGGTGGGGTCCCGGCTCACCAGGTGCCGGCTGGCTCTGTTGTGGGAGCAGCCTCAGCTCAGGCTGGCGCCTGCCTTCCCTCCGTTTTAGGAAAATCCAAGAGGAAGAAGGACTTACGGATATCTTGCGTGTCCAAGCCTCCTGCGCCCAACCCCACGTGAGTATGCCTCAGCTTCTGCCCCAGCGCAGCATGGAGAAGCTTCCTGAACGGCAGGTGGGGGGAGACGGCAGGGGCGAGAGGAAGGTGGGCCCGCCTGCTCTGCGCCCTCGGAGCCAGGCTGGGCAGCTGGCCATGGGGCATGCAAGTACTGCTGACTGCCGTGTCCCCCCGCCCTGTCCCCCTCCGCCCACGGCCACCTGGCAGCGAGGCCTCGGCCGGCTCCCAGCAGATGCTTGGCCTCGGATGATGAGCCTCCCCGGCAAGGACGCCTGCTCCTGGGGGAGGCTCACGGGTCTGCTTCCTCCACAGACCCCCCCGGAACCTGGACTCCCGGACCTTCATCACCATCGGAGACAGAGTAGGTGCCAGCCCTCCCCTGGCGGGGCATCCCGCCGCCTGACAGTGGGACGAGCTGGCCCCGCAGGGCCCTGCCCTCGGCCCCTGTGGGATGGCGTGCTGAACGTGCAGACTCCTGGGCCCGCCCAGACCCTCAGCCAGCGCCTGGGGCTCTGCACCCACCTCCTGTGCCCTGAAGGGCCCCAGCCATCCAGAGCCCTGGCCTGCAGGGGTCCCTCCCGGCACTCTCGCCACTGCTGCCCAGTTCGCCTGCTTGGTTCTCTTCTGTGTCTCTCCCAGTGGAAACTCCTAAGGGCAAGACTTTGTTTTCTGGATGTGTCGCCAGTACCTGAAACATATAATAGGTGCTCAGTAAACAGCAGCTGAAAAACACGACTCCCTCTAACCAGCGCCCGTGCTGGAAGGGTGTTTACAGGCCCCCTCATTTCCACCTCACAGCAGCCCTTGGGTGTTAGTGTTCTGCCTGTTTTAGAGAGGGCAGCATGAGGCTCAGAGAGTTTAACGACTTGTCGAGGGTCACATAGCAGTGAGGGGCTGGTACGAGATTTGAGCCCAGATCTGACCAACTTCATCCTCTTCTCTTTCTGCTGCCCCAGCTGTCTGCACCAGACGAGGGCTGAGGACCTGCTCCTGGCTTGGTAGCCACTGAACGTCTCTTTTTTCTGTTCCCCAAGAACTTTGAGGTGGAGGCCGATGACCTGGTGACCATCTCGGAATTGGGTCGGGGAGCCTATGGGGTGGTGGAGAAGGTGAGGCACGCCCAGAGCGGCACCATCATGGCCGTGAAGGTAAGCAGGGCCTGCCCCGCCCCACCTCGCCCTACCAGGGAGGGGGCACCTGGGGCCTGCAGGCAGCTGGAGGGCTGCCTGGAGGCAGTGTGGAGCTGAGCCTGCAGGTCGACTTCCTGGCTTGGGGCCCGTCCCTCTTTGTGTCTGGTGGTGAGCCCAAGCTTTTCAGGGCAGGCTGGGCTGTGGGCTCCTGAGCTCTGGGCCCTCGTGTCGCCGTGAGGGGTACTCACCGCTGGCACGGCGGCCCCTGAACCACAGCCCTCCCTGCAGCGGATCCGGGCCACTGTGAACTCGCAGGAGCAGAAGCGGCTGCTCATGGACCTGGACATCAACATGCGCACGGTTGACTGCTTCTACACCGTCACCTTCTATGGGGCTCTCTTCAGAGAGGTGCGGCCTGGTGGCGAGTGTGTGCGGGGCTGGAGGGTGGGGGCTCCCCAACCCATCCGTCGGCTGGCAGCCCCCCCCCCCGGGTGCCGGGTGCCAGGGACACGCGCAGTGTGGCGAAGCCCCTCCCTGCTGCCTGAGGGCAGCACACCAGGCTCCTGGGAGCACGGGCCCAGCCAGACCCACTGCGTCCTGGCTGTTCCCACCCTGCTCTGGGCCTTGGTTTCCTTGTGTGTAAAACGGGGCCAGCGAGTGTATGTGCCTTCTGCAGTGGATGAGGTTAAACGACGCGGCCCCAGGCCAGGCGTTCAGCCAGGGCTGCACTCGGTTCTGCCTGAGTGAGCATCTGTCCCTGGCAGCCATCCAGGGCAGTGCGGCTCTGAGCAGGAGTGGCCATGGAGGTGCGTGAGACTCTGGGTGAGATTCTGGGTCTCTGAGGTAGGAGGTGAGGTGAGAGGAGAATTGAGAGCTGGAAGCATGGAGCTGCCTTCCGCCGAGCCGGGCAGGTGGCGGGCAGGGCTGGTGGGGTGAGTGGTGGGGGTCAGGAGCCCAGGCTGGATGCCACAGGCTGTGCCAGGGATTTGCCCCCTCAAGGCGCTGCGGGTGGTCTGTGGGCATCTGTGCTGGGTGAGGTCAGGGTTCATCTGCCCCAGCCTCGGTCACTGAGCACCCTCTGCATGCCAGGTCCTAGTCGACGGGCCCAGGGCCCTGTGGTGCCTCTAGGCACCTCTAGGCCTCTTATCCCGCCTCCCCAGCGGGAGGACCCACAGGTGTCTGCTGGGGGAAGGGGCGGGTCCTCACAGGCAGGGAGCCTCTGCTGCGGTCAGCTGGCAGGAGGCCATCTGCCGGGGCAGCGGGCTGGCTCACGGGGTGGAGCTGGCTCCAGCACATCCTGGAAGCCCCTGATGGAGGAACACAGCCAGGCTGTTGTGTCCCTCCTCCCTGGAAATGCCACAGAATTAGGGGTCAGATAGGGGTGTCCAAGGCAGCAGAGCCCGGGGAGGCTGGCGTGTGCCCTGGCGGTGTGGCAGTGCCGGAGGTTGGAGGGAAGCAGACGGGCAGAGGAGCAGGTGCTCACGGGCGGTGGGCTGAGCGCGTGGGCACACGCTGGGCTGGCACTGGGAAGGCTGCGTGGCCAGGGGGAGGAGCACCTGGCCAGGCTCTGGATCCACCCACAGGGAGATGTCTGGATCTGCATGGAGCTCATGGACACGTCTCTGGACAAGTTCTACCGGAAGGTGCTGGATAAAAACATGACAATTCCAGAGGACATCCTGGGGAAGATTGCCGTGTCTGTAAGTGGCCAGGCCTGGGAGGGCTGTGGTTCCAGGTGTGTGGTGAAGGCCCAGGCCTGCCTAGGAGGCACAGAGCCTGTGTGTGATAGTGTCTTGGCAGAGCTGGGCCCCTGTGTGGCCCCTGGGTGACTACTCCTCAGAGTCCACCTCCTTCACCCCAGACTAGAGCCTCCTTGCTGAGGAGATCCCAGAGCCTGGGGCTCCTGGAGCCCCACAGGTTTGGCAGATCCAGGGCTCTAGGTCTTAAGAGTGCAACTCTCTAGTTCAGGCTACTTTTAATGGGAAACTTAGTATTTATTGCGGGCCTCATACTAAACACGCCCTGGGGCAGCTCACAGAGGCACAAGCTAAGTCAGTGACAATTAACACCCACAGTGTTTGCTTTTTGAGTCTTAACTGGTTCTAGAGAAGGGCCTGTAACACTGGGCTTGAGCATCCCAGCAGCCAAAGGAAGAAGGGAAGTGGAATCAGTGATATGAGTGGTCTCAATCCTGATTGCATCTGGAAACATGTAAAACATACCCATGCCTCGGGCTCCCCACTGAGCTTCCTGAGGGGATAGCTCCAGGCAGCAACAGCCAGCCAGCCAGCCAGCCAGCCTAGCCACCCCAGCCAGCCTAGCCACCGTAGCCGGAAGGGAGGGAGCAGGGCATTCCAGGGAGGGGGAGGGGTGGCTGCCAAAGGGTGGGGTTTTAGCCAGGAAGAGCCTAGTGCTGGGAGGGGGGGAGGGAGGAGGCCAGGTGTGTCTGCACACAGCCTGGGGTGGGAAGGGCTGGGCGCGTGTGCGGGAGCAGAGGGCTTGCTGCTCTGTCACGGTTGATCTGACCAGGAATAACAACAGTCCTGTCTCTCCTCGCCAGATTGTGAGGGCCCTGGAGCACCTGCACAGCAAGCTATCGGTGATCCACAGAGGTGGGTCCTCAGTTGGCCCACGTGGGGCGGGGCCCTGCTGGCCTGGGGGGCGCCTCTCCAGGCAGGGGGTTGCACACCGCTCTCCGGTTTCCAAAATGAGCAACGTGAGGCTCTGGGAGGTGATCGGTTGTGACATGCTCGTGCGGTTCAGGCCATGTTCTACCTGCTTTCGTGGCCGCCTCCCCTCTGTTTGCTGGTTCTGGGAGCAGGGGCTGGGTTGCCCTCTGTCTTGAGAAAGACTGGCTGGTTTTGTTTTGACGTATAGTGGACAAACCACAAAACGTGTGGAGTCGAGTACGCCCCACGAATCCTATAGTCATAACGCTGGAACCACCTCCCTGCCAAGACACAGGATGCCTCCCCTGTCCCCGTCCCAGCCCAGAACGTTCTCTCGGGTCCCTGCCCTCATGCCCTGACGCAGCCGCTAGTCCGGTGCTCCCACAGCGGGTTGGGCTTGTTGGCCTTTCCTCTGGCCTGGTGGCTCTGGGCTCATCAGGCTGCGCGTGGGTGATTCTCTCTTCTCTGCTGAGTCCGCTTTCCGCACTTACTGCTTTTCAAAAAATGAGTTGGGTGAGTCCCCGTGACCACTGTGTGCCATCCCAGCCCCTGCCCAGGTCACTGCAGTTGGCAGCTGGCATGGAATGTTCAGCCCTTTTTCTGCGCATGTCGGCCTTTATACTTGTCCGCATAGAGAGTGTGTGGCCGCTGCGTGTCGTGTGCACATTCTCAGGAGATTCCTCGCTGGGCTGGCCTTCTGCCGGGAGTCTGGGGAGGCTCCCACCTCTCGGACCTTAACCGCCCTGCTGCCTGCCTGTGGGTCCATGACCCACACACGCCGCTCGCTCGCTGGACCTCGGGTGCAGAGTGGCGGACACAGGCTCTGCTCCCGTGGTGGCAGGGCCGGGCGTGTCCTGGCTGTGCCCAGCGGGGCAGCCGTGGGCTGGTGCAGCAGCTCTCGCTATCCGGTTTTCTTGTCCAGTCCTTGGCTCAGGTGCGACCTGCACAGTGGGCGTGAGGGGGGTACATGCGGGTGGCAGCAGGGAGTGGGGCTGTGGTGCACCTCCATTCCGGACCACACAAGCACGGGCTGAGAAGCGTGTTCCGCCCGGCAGACGTGAAGCCCTCCAACGTCCTCATCAACAAGGAAGGCCACGTGAAGATGTGCGACTTTGGCATCAGCGGCTACTTGGTGGACTCCGTGGCCAAGACAATGGATGCTGGCTGCAAGCCCTACATGGCTGTGAGTGGCCCCACCCCCGGCTCAGGGCAGGACAGGGCCTGGGGAAACTGCCCAGCCTGGCCCAGCCACCATTACTGATGCAGGGCCCCTCCCAGCTGCGTTTCCTGCCATAGTGGGCGACCTGAGCCAGCTGCCCACACAGCCTCTCCTGTGGTTAACTCACCCCACAGTGCCCCATTTGGATGGTGCCTTTTGTGGACCACCCCTGTGGAGGAGCCTCGAGGTCTGGACAGGCCCCACTCCAGCCCTGTTGTCACAAAGATGGGGACCCTTGGGCCCTCCCCTGAAAGGGTAGCCGCGAGGCAAGGATTAGGCCTTTGAAACATGACCTTGGCCCTCACCTGCCTCAGTTTCCTCCCGTTATGCAGCAGGTGGGACAAGACGAGCGTCAGTTTTGGGATGTGGAGGCAAGGGCTGGCCAGGGGAGCCTTAGATGGCCCCCACCTGGCCTCACACCCTGGGGTGGGCATTCACACCCTGATCCCTCTTGCAGCCTGAGAGAATCAATCCAGAGCTGAACCAGAAGGGCTACAATGTCAAGTCCGACGTGTGGAGTCTTGGCATCACCATGGTACTGCCTGGGACTGGGTCCAGCCCTTGCTGGTCGGGTGGGGCTGGGTGGAGCCATGTCTGGGGCTATGAGCTTTTGGTGAGCCCATCAAATAGTTTAGGTCCTGGACAGAAGTGTTGGCTTCAAAATCTGAGAAGAAAATGTGCCATCAAAAATCACTTATTGGCCTGTCACGGTGGCTCATACCTATTATCACAGCCCCTTGGGAGGCCAAGGCAGGAGGATTATTTGGGCCAGGAGTTGGAGACCAGCCTGAGCAACATAGTGAGGCCCTGTCTTTATAGAAATTAGAAAAATTAGCCGGGCATGGTGGTACATACCTGTAGTCCCAGCTACTCAGGAGGCTGAGGCAGGAGGATCCCTTGAGCCCAGGAGTTTGAGGTTACAGTGAGCTATGATGACACCGCTGTGCTCTGGCCCAGGTGACAGAGTGAGACATTGTCTCAAAAACCAAAATTATCATCTATTTATATAGTCTTGCCTGTGGATAGCCACAGCACTCCAGCCTGGGCAATATAGCAAGACCTCAAGACCCCTGTCTCTAAAAAGAAAAACAAATTACTCTCTCTTCGGGAAGTGTCTGTAAGTGACACCCCCTCCCTGATGGTTAGGTTACTTGTCATGTAAGTTCTTGATATTTTGTGGCAAGTCAGCCACTAGACTTTCTCCCAGAGTTCTTCAGGTTTGCCACAGCCAATCCCAAATTAAATGAGCTCCTAGTATGCAAATTATTCAAAAGCGAAATGGTAAAAATCTTTCAGAAAACTTTTCACAGCAAGAAGTGTGTTGCCTGTGGGGTCCTGGTGTATTGCCTTGGGCATGGTAGTGTGGGTGGGTGGGAATTCTCAATCCTGGGCCTTGGAGGCTGAAACCCCCCTGGCTGGGGTAGGGTGGGGTAGGGACAGGCCCAGCTGAAGTACAGGTGGTGAGTTGGGACCTCTTGTTCTTTCTAGAACAGCACAGCAGGACCCCCACCCCTTCCTGTGTCTGTGGGTCAAGGTTTGTTTGTTTATTTATGTTTTACATTGGAGCTTCTATTTTAGAAAGCCTCCTCTGGTGCCTGTGTGGAGAATGGGTTGAAGGGATAGAAAAACTGCTAGGATGTGTTCCCCTAGCCAGTACTAGGAAGTTGTGCAAGAGACACGGGCACACAGAAAGATAATGGCCCTCACAGTGGTCACACCCATGTGTGAGTCAGTCCAGTTGACTTGGCCGACCCGAGTGGGCTTCAGCCCCACTCCCCATCTCACCCCTAGGGACTAACGTGTAGCATCCTGGGTGTCAGCACCTTCCCTGCCCAGGGGAGAGCCTGGCCCAGGGAAATTCTTGCCTGCCCCTAGTCCCTTTGGCCATTCAGTGTTGCAGGGACAGGGGAGTCTGACAAAGTCGATCAGTAAGAGATGTGGTGAGAAGGGTGTTGGGGAGTTTCCAACACCAACAACCCGGTTTTAGATTCTCCAGACACTCAACCAGATGCCCCGCAATTCCATTTATTTAGTTAGTTTTTCCATTTTTTTTTATTTCAGCATCTTATGGGGGTACAAATGTTAAGGTTATGTATATTGCCCATGTTCCCCCTCCCCCCTCAATGCAATTCACTTTAATTTGTTCACTAATTACCTGGAGTTAGCATAGACCCCAACAGGTTCAGGACTCATTCCCACAAGACTGCCTCCACTCCCCCCACCTACCAATGTCATAGGCCGGTCAGAATTCCTGGACCTCCCGTACTACTGACCTACCGGATGTAAACCAAGGGTCCCCACAACCCCTGCTAAGGTTTGATAATTTGCTAGAACAGCTCACAAAACTCAGGAAAAATACTTGTGTTTACTGGTTTATCATAAAGGATGTAACTAACTCCAGCACAGCTGAATGGAAGAGATGCACGGGGCTCAGGGGCGGAGCTTCCGTGCCCTCCCTGGGACCACCACACTGCACACCTCCACCTGCCCACTGCCTGCACGCTCTTGAAGCTCAAGCAGAACTCTTACAGGGCTTCCTCTCCAGCCCCTCTGGGATTGGCCAATGAGGCTGAGTTCCCACCTTCTGAGCACTGGGCCATTTTGGTGACCAGCCCCATCCTGAGGCTAAGTCACCCCAAGTCACCTCATTAGCAGGAACTCTGGTGTCTCCGAAGGGGTCCTTCATGGATAACAAAAGATGCTTCTGTCACTCGGGAAATTCCAAGGCTTTTAGGAACTTTTTTACTATGCCTCTAGGGCAGAGAAGAGTCAGATAGGCAGGGGTGGCTCTGGGGACAGGAAGAAGGGCCACTGTTTCATGTGTGGGGTGTGAGGCCTACTGGCCTGTGAGGAGGGCACCCTTCGGGCTCTGAGGCAGAGCAGCCCAGCAAAGGGAGGGCAGGAGCAAAGGCTGGAGGTGTGTGTGTCTGGGGTCCAGACCAGAGGAGAGATGGCCAGAGGGAGATCAGAAGAGGATTGGGGTGGAGTATGGGGTCAATATAGGCATTTTGGATCTTGCTGACACTGCTGTTACACATTGTTATCATAACGTGTAATGGCTGTAACTTTATTAACTGTGTATCTGCAGATAATGACTAGGGAAGAATCAAAACCATAATTTTGTCAGAGAGCTGGAATTAGGTGATACCTTCAATTTTCCTTAATACTGGTGACATGCCATTTTTTTATGAACCCCTTTTTCTTTTTGAAGTGGAGGTAAATATTCAAAGTCTAAAGGCAGGTAGCATACCTGCAGATCAGAGTTTTCCAACTCCTGAGTTAGAAAGTAAACAGAACAAGTTCTTGCTGTAGTTACAGTCTACACAGGGCTGGTTGGTTGTTAGAGACCCCCCCTTGTAACCACCTCACACATACACCCCCTGTGCCCCCTCCATCCCTTTCTCCTTGCATTCCTTTCATCTGTCCATCCCATCATCATTATTGGGGACCCACCATGACCTGTGACCTTCTGTTGTCTCTGGTGGAACTTGGACAGTATGTACTAAGTGAACATTTCAGTTATCAAATACTGCATAGCAATACCACCCTGGAACCTAGTGACCTAAACCAATAGCAGTTTGTTCATTGCTTCTCATGTTTCTGCCATCTGGGCTGGGCTCAGCCAGGTGGTTCTTCGCTGCACCTGGCAGCTGGCCTGGGCTAGAAGGTCCAATAAGGCCATACAAGTGTGGGCTCCTCTCTGTGACTTCTGAATGTGACTTCCTCACATTGGGCTGCTCATTGGGCTTCCTCACAACATGGTGGTGTCAGTATAATTTTTTTGTGTGTTTTGCATTGGGGCTTCCGTTTTAGAAAGCTTTTCATGGTGGCTAGCTTCCTTCCTAAGCGAATTCCTCTTGAGTGATAGGCCTGGAACTGGCATAGCATTGCTTCTGCCTCATGGTGTCAGAGCCAGTCAGAAGGCCAGCCAAGTTCAAGGGGAGGGCATTCTGCCTGCCTAATGGGAGGGCTGGCGGGCACACAGGGAGAAGTAGTGATGTCCCTTTGCAGACGGGCTGCTGTGGTGCAGGTTAGGTTTTCCCCTTACCAGTTATAAGAGTAATGGAAAACCAGCATAAAAATATGGACGCAAAGTTGGGAGTGAGGCATGACCATAATAGTTCCATGTGACGACATACCTCTTCTGTCCATTGCCAAGGCCAACACTGTGCATCTCCTTGTAGACTTGTGTGTTGCTTCTTTTTTAAAAAAATACATATTTTTTATTTTGGCATTTTCACTTAGTATTGCATGGTGTTCATATTTCTCTGAATTATAATAAACCCTTGTAGGCATCCCTTCCAAAGATTCCATAACCGTCTGCCACTGTGTGCTCACCTAGTCCCCTGATGTGGGATGTTTCACTTGATTCTGATTTTTTCTTTTCATCTGAAGTCCTCGGCCATCCTGGGGGAGCGACTGGCGAAACAGGGTTAGGCATGTCCCTCCAGGAGGGCTGTGGTCTCAGTCTCCCCATCCTTGTGGATAGCCCCTAGGAGCTGTCTGTGGTGCTGGACTTGTTCCCACTTACTGCGCACGGTACAGGACACCAGCAGGAGTCGCCAAGACAGGCCTGGGTCGTGCTTGGCAAGGCTCTGTCCCCGTGGTGGGGCTGGTCCCTGGCGCAGACATCTAGGCTGCTCTTAAGTATTCCCTGCGACAGATAACACTGTATGGCACATCTTTGTGTCCAGAGGCTGTTTTTGTTTTTCATTTTTTGATCTCTTTATAAAAAAAAACTTCAGAAAAGGGAGTACCAGGTTGAGGGTTTGGAACTTTTCTGTTTTTCTTGTCATAAACTCTGGTAGCTGGTCCTTCTCATGTAGCTCCTATGGGGTCGTCATCCTGCATGTTGGAGTCAGTGAAGGCCTAAGAGCAGCACCCTGAGTCCACGGGTTTTGTCCTGTGAACACCACGCCCTGCATCCAGCGTGTCTGTCTGTGGGGTGTGGGCCTGGCTGCAAGGGCCTGTAGTCTAATGGGAAGGCCCTTTCTTTGCACAGTAATTTATGATCTGTTTGGGTGCCAGTTGCCAACCCGAAGCGTGCGTTTGAGCTAAAGTCTCTTCCGCTCATTATGAGGTTACAGCCTGTTAGTGAGGGGCCTTGCACCGGAACCGGATTTCTCTGCTGTCCCAGGCAGGGGCCTGGGCTGACCTGATTTGCTTTTTCCATCCAGAAGTCAAAATCAGCCCAGACTGGCTGTGATGTGAGCCAGTCTCCTCCACAGCTGACTCCCCACACCCTGCAGGCGGGCATGGGCAGCAGCCTCGGGTGGGAGCAGGGCGGGTCTGCCGATGGCCCCCGTGGGGACAGTGGTGGGAGCAGGGCGGGTCTGCCGATGGCCCGCGTGTGGACAGCGATGGGAGCAGGGCGGCTGGGGCTGTGGCGCTGGGCTCCACAGAGGAGGAGGCCCGACGCACGGCTTGGCGAAGCAGCCCCACGGGCTCCGTCCTCAGCCTTGGCTAGAGGCGTGTGCGAGGGCTGCTTCCTGCCCGCCGCCTCTGTAACGCGCAGCCCACGTGCACGGCAGCGCCGGCCGGGCAGCAGCTGGTAGGGGTGCTAGTGGCGACGCTGACCTGACACCTGTCTGATCGAGCTGCTCTGCCAGCTGCTGCCTTGCGGGAAGGCGGCCCATGGCTGCCAGCTCCCGAGGTTTTTCCAGATCTGCTGCAGCCTGGTTTGTTATGTAAAGTCTTCTGAATTCAGGTTGTTGGGAAGCCTGGCGGTGGTCAGCGCATCCCAGCCTGGGCTGGGGCAGAGCAGCTGAGTGCTGGCCCTCCTGGGTCTCATGGTCAGTCTGCCGTGCTGGGTCGGGGAGGTCAGCCTCGGCTGCCCCTGGGCCTGCCCCTTGGCCTGGCTCTAGGCGCCGGATGGGCAGGACCCCTCACCCCGGCTCCTGGGTGCAGATGTGGGTCTGTTTGGTGGCTGGGGCCTGCTCGGCCCACTGCTGCCGCTGTCCCCGCTACAGATCGAGATGGCCGTCCTGCGGTTCCCTTACGAGTCCTGGGGGACCCCGTTCCAGCAGCTGAAGCAGGTGGTGGAGGAGCCATCCCCCCAGCTCCCAGCTGACCGTTTCTCTCCTGAGTTTGTGGACTTCACTGCACAGTGGTGAGTTTCTGGCACCTCTGAGCCCACTCAGCACCCTTCCCTGCCCTGGGCAGGTCTCAGCTCCTTCCTAGGCCTCGTCCCTTCTTCTTCAGCAAACAACTCCAAACAGCATGGCATCAGAATATGAAGAAAATTTGACAAAACTGTGGACTTGGTGAGAAATTTTAATGCTATCCAGAAATGGACAGATTACGTAGATTAAAAAAAAAGGCATGTGGAGGATTTGAGCACATAACAGCCAAGTTTACTTTTATTGATGTCTAGAACTTTGTACCAATTTAAAGAATGCCCATGGGAGCCCTATAAAACTTAATCATGTTTGAGGTTACACAGGAAACGAGGAAAAAGGCGAAGTCACACAGGCTATGCTCTTTGGCCATAGTTAAGTAGAACAAGAAATAAATAACTAAAACGGAAAAAGCTGTGTGGAAATTAAAAGCAAATTCTTCTAAAGAGCTCTTTAGGTACAAAAGGGATTTAAAAATTAAAATTACAAATTATTTAGAAGGGAAAGATAATGAGAACATAACATATCAACATCTGTGTGTTGTGGTCAAAGATACTGAGAGGAAATTTTGTGGCCTTTGTTTCTTTTAGTAGAAAATAAGAAAAACTAAAAACAGCTGAGCTCAGCAAACATAGTTGCTGGCCAGCTTGGCCCATTTTAGTGGCCCCCCAGAAGTCATGGTAAGGAGTCTCCGCTTCCAATCAAGGATGCCAGTGCATGGTGGTTAGGGATTGCGTTTCGGTAGTGTGTTTGCGTTGGTATCATGGAAGGTCCCTGGACCACTATGGAGACAAGAAAACTAAGATCCTAGAGCCAGAGAAATTGCTGCTGCCTCCACCCTGGGAGGCCCCTGGGCAGGCCCTGCCCCATCTTCCCTGAGCCGTGGGAGCACTCGTGCCCTGCTGCCCAATCCGGGGCAGCCTGGAGAGGCTGGGCCCTCTTCCTCATGCCAGCCCGGCCTCACCTGCTCTGTTCTGTCCTAGCCTGAGGAAGAACCCTGCGGAGCGCATGGGCTACCTGGAGCTTATGGTGAGTGCAGGTGGGAAGGCGCTTGCCAGGCGGCTCAGTGGCGCTCCCGGCAGGGCTGCATCCCAGCATGTGGTTAGCTTGCTTAGGACCTCGGTCGGTCGCTTGTTCCCTCACAAACCTGGTCCCTTCCTGCTCTATACCAGGCACTTGGAAGGGTGCACAGGCAGCGCTGTGGCGGGATGGGAAGGAGTGGCGAGAGTGGCATGGGGAAGGCTGAATGGAGGAGCCTGAGGGACAGACAAGCGCTATCTGCTGCTGGAGGGCAGGTGGAGAGGGCATTCCAGGCGGAAGGCCCAGCGTGGGCAGGGCCAGGCACAGTGGGGAAAAGGGAGGTTGGTGGCTGGAGGGTGACTGCAGGAGGGCCAGGGAGGAGCCTGAACGCCATCTCTCAGTCATGGAGGGCTTCCTGGGAGTGGAAGTGTAGAAGGATGAGTAGGATTTTGCCAGGCAAGAGCAGCACTTGGGGGCTTGGGCTGGCTGGGGAGGGGGACACCGCTCCCTCCCCCACCCCACAGCGGCTGCCTTCTGTCGCCCCCAGGAGCACCCTTTCTTCACCTTGCACAAAACCAAGGAGACAGACATTGCTGCCTTCATGAAGGAGATCTTGGGAGAGGACTCATAGGGGCTGGCCCTGGGACCCGCAGCCGCTCTGCCGGGACAGGGCTTGCCCACACCCACAAGCTACTGCCATCCTGGCCCTGGGTGCCCGGGAGGAATCCAGCAGCTGCTCCCGCCTGGCTCTGCAACAAGCCGTTTGTCCCAAGTGCCAAAGAACCAGACTTTTGGGGGCTCGGATCTCACCAGTGCCTCTGCCCTGATGCCCCGAGGACCCCAAGGCTCCAGCTGCTGAGACCCTGGACTTAGGGGGCCTGGATGCCTCCTGCCGGACACTGCTGCCCCTCTCAGAGAAGCAGCCGGTGCCTGTGTGGACAGGCTGCTGCCTTGCCCAGCCTGGATGCCACCCAAGTTGTACATTTTTTTAGCTTTCAACTGAATAGACTTTGCACACTTTGGCCCAGGGTGGCCACACCTCTGACCCGGCTTTGGTGCAGGGGGCACAGTAGGGGGTGAGCCACGTGAATACCCCCAACACTCCCACAAGGGAGATGCCGTGAGCCACCCAGCCTCCCCCAGCATTGGCAAACAGGGCCTCTAACGGTCACCTAGTCCTGCTCTACTCTAGGGGCATTGTTTCAACTTTTGTTTGTTTTTGTTTTTTGTAATTTATCCTCTGGTTTTTTTCTCTTTTGCTTTGTGGGTGTAGCTGGTTTTTCTTGCGTGATTTGGAGCTGATCACTTTCCCTTCCACGGCCCCAGCAGGCTGAGATTTGCCCTCTGCTTGGGCTGGGGCCAGGGGACAGGCCCAAGGTCTCTGCTTGGAGAGGCGCCGGGGGCCTTCTAGGCTCCCCCTCCTTGGGGACCAGCTCGGCAGGGCCTATGGATTTGCTTTGGTTGTGGTTTAAAAACAAACAAAAAAAGAAAATATATTTTTTTGAAGAAAGGACTGCCCTTCCTGGGTCCTTTCCCAGATGGGTGGGAGCAGTTTCTTGGTTGCTGTTTTAATTTAAAAAAAAAAAAAAGTGGGACAAAAGGATGTGTGAGATTGTGTGACGGTGCAAGCCCCAGCCTTTGTCCCCTGGAATTACCCCTTGGCTCTGGGCCAGGGCTGTGTGCTCAGGGTAGCAGGTGCCACTGGCCCCAGGGCCTGCATCGGACAGGTCCTTTTACATCTGGGGACACTGAGGCTCCTAGAGGGCTGTGACCAGGTAACATTCTGTGACTATAGGCACCAGACCTGGTGCTAGAGACTGATCAGAGCACACAGGCCCAGTTCCCTGGTGGCAGCCACCTGTCCCACTGTCCTGGAAGGAAGGTAGCTCAGGGCTGAACATGACCACCACATTGAGGGTGTTATGTGACCCCCCTCCCCATTTGCAAGTGAAAGAACAGGCCCAGAGAGTTGAGATAACTTGCCCAAAGCCCCACACTCTATAAGATGGGGAAACTGAGCCTCAAGGACAGGTGGTATCCCCCTGGAGGAGGCTCTGAGGGGAGTGGAGGCAGCTTGATGAAGGTCCCCTTGCCAAGGTCCAGTCTGGCACTGTGACCTTGAGGTGTGGGCTGGGCAGAAGCCCTCCATCAGAGGCGGGCGAGGGAGCTCGCTCCTGTGAGCAGGAGTGTGTGGTTTCAGGTCCCGCTGGGGTCGGGAGCTCGGTCGTGTCTTGAAAGACTGTCCACCATAGTTCAGTTTCACGCTCCCTGCGTGGGGACAAGTCAGGACCCAGGGCTCCCACCAGCCCAGCACCTTGGCCAGAGCTCCACCCAGAGTCCTGGGGCAGGATGGGGATGGGTCAAGTGCTCGTGTGGCCAGTGAGGCTCAGATCCACCAGGGGTCAGCGGGTGCTCCCATGTCGGAGAGCAGGGCCTTGGCGGGCCTCCGGGAGAATTAGGGTGTGTTCCCAGGAGGAGGGTGCTGTCTCCAGGAGTCTGCCTCTCCCAGTCTCCATCCAGCACTCTTCCTGTCCTCCAGCCCTGTCTGGGCCTGGCCTCTGCTGGCTCAGCCTGCCCTGGCACAGGGCTCAACAGTCTCAAGGAGCTTTGTCTCCCTCCCTCGGGGCCTTGGTGCTGACTGTACCCTCTGCCTAGGACACAGCTCCCCTGGTCTCCCATGCCACCTCCTCAGGAAGGTCTTCCAGGACCGACTGCGCCAATCTAGCTAATTACCCTGCGTTATCTGGACAGATCTGTCATTGCGGTGTCCCCGGGGCCCAGAATACTGCCACACATGGGGAGTGCTCAGTCAGCCTTTGTTGGGTGCATACCCTAAAGCATGAGGGAGGGAGGGAGGCTCCCCCAGCCCTGTGAGTAGGCGCGCGCGCCCATGCGAGGGCGCAGGTGCGCGCAGGACCGGACCCGAGTCTCGGGCGCGGCCGCCAGGGGGCGGCAGGGTGCGCGCCCGAGGGCCCGGCAGGGCTGGGGTCCCGCTCCCGGGGCTCTGCGATCTGCGGGGCGCCGGGCAGCTGCGGAGCTCGCCTGCGAAGCGCTTTCGTGCTCCAGACCCCAGACGGGGCCGCGCGGCGCCGGAGTGAGCCCGGCGCTGGGCGTGAGACCGCTGCGGTCCCTGCGTGTCCCTGCGGACGCGGCGGCGCTGCGGGGGGTGCGGGCCGGCCCGCGCTGCTCGGGCCTGGCGGAGGGTCGCTGGAGCCCGGGACGCGGGCGCACGCCGCTCGGTCGGGTGTCTGCAGGGCCACCTTCCGCAAGCGGGGTCGCCGGGTCGCCCCAGCAGGGGCGGAACGGCGCGGTCGCAGCCTCCGGTGCTGTTCGCGCCTGTGGGCAGCCCCGCGCTCCCACCTGGCCAGCGCCGCGAAGCCGCGTGCGGGTCACCTCGGCATCTGCAAGCACCGGCCAGTCCCGGGCCCTGGACAGTTTGCACAGCCCGCGACCTCAGCGGAGGCCCCTCCCGGGGGTCAGGCATGGGCCGGACCCCGTCACAGGGGCCACGTGCCCCACTGCCATCAGGCAGCAGGGTCCTGGCAGGTGCCTCCCCCAGGCCCAGGCCTGAGCGCGGCAGAGGCAAGTGGCCTTTCTGCTTCGATGGCAGCGCGGAGCCTCTTCATCAGGCGCATTAAAAATGCGGCGGCCGGCCCGTCCTGGAGCAGGGAGGCTGCCTCTGAGGGCGGTTTGGCAGGTCCCTTCCGGAGGCCGGGGAGGGCACCTCCCTTGTCACGTCCAGCTCAGTCTCTGCCTCCTGCGGCCCCCACGCCCCCGCCGCCGTGGAGCTGGCTCCCCACCAGGCCGCCTCCCTGCGGCGCCCCCGCTCTGCAGCCGCGCGCCGGCCTGCGGGCCTGCTGTCCGCCGCGCCGAACGCGGTTCCCCAAGAAGTTCTCCTGCTCGGGTGTCTTCAGAGCCCTCCCTGCTGTACTTCCTCCATGTTTACTTATGTGCGTTCTTGTCCATGGACGGGGCGGGTCTGTCTTGCTCAGAGCCTGGCTCAGTTGGGGTCGGACAACAATAGAGGAATCAGGGCAGCTGCAGGAAAGCTGTCCCCCAGCCCCAAAGCTGGGCCCAGGAACCAGGCAGCAGGGCCCAGAGAGCCAGGCCCTGCCAGAACTGTGCCAAGCTTTGGCCAGGGCCAGTGCTGCAGCTCTGTTCATGGGGCAGTCCCGGGAGGGCTCTGCAGGAACCCCAGTCCCCACAGTGCTGACTGAGGACTCTGCCCAGCACATGGGAAGGCCAGACCGCAGGCACCACCAAAGCCCCAACGAGTGCACGCACTGGGGCTCTCCCAGGTGGGCTGCCTGGCTTTGCTTCTGAGGGTGGGGTCCAGCAAGGCCTGCCCCTCACCTGGCAGCAGGGGTGCCAGCGTGGCAGGCCCCTCCTCTCCAGTCTTTAAACCTGCTGGTGAACTCAGGTGGGGGAAGGGGTCAGCCAGCAGCTCTGCTGTAGTTTGAACTTGTCCTTCGAAGTCTGCGTATGGGAAACTGGATCCCCAGTGTTGAGGGGGAGCTGATGAGAGGTGACCAGGTCCTGGGGGCTCTGCCCTGGCAATGAAGGAGTGCAGTTATTTCAGCAGTGGGTCACTGCGCCAGGGACTCCACGCCCCCGTTGCTCCCTGGCCCTTCCTTCTCCTCATGGGATAACACAGCAAGGCCCTTGACAGATGGTGGCGCCTCGATCTTGGACTTCCTAGCCTCCAGAACCATGAGAAATAACTTTCTTGTGTTTAAATTACCCAGTCTGTGGTGTCCTGTTACAGCGGCACGGAGCGGGCTGAGACCCCCACCGCCAGTCTGACTTCCTTGGGGCAGGGGCTGTGGCTGGACAAGGAGGGCCAGCCAGAGTCATCTCATCTCCCAGCAGGGACTTAGCCTCTGACCAAGCCTGCAGCCCCTCCCAGCCACACCCCGACCAGGGCTCGCCAGCCTCTGCTTGCATACCTCCCCTAATGGAGAGCTCAATTCCATACAGATGAGCTTCCTGGAGGGACCTGAGATCCATCTTCTTGTCCCTGTTTTATTTCCCAAGGCCTGTGACGTGAGGGCCCCATGTGTAAACTCTGGTTCTCTCTAAATGCTCATTCCTTTGCCTCTTGTGGCTGTTGCAGATCCTTTTGGAAACCAGGTGGGCGGGTTTATATATATGTCAGCCATACTGTGTTTATCAGAGTGTGTTTATTGCCACACCGAGGGCAGCAGGTTCTGCTGGAGGTTCCGAAGGCTCAGTGATGGCCTGGCCCCACCCGGGGCCACTAGAGAGTAAGGCAGAGCCAGGGCAGCCCAGAACCCCAGGTGTCCTGCCCCCACTCCCTGCCCCTGGCCAAGGCTCTGCCCTACTCCAGTGAGCCACATGCCAAGCCAGGTTTAGCTGCAGCCACCCCCTCTGTCCTTGCAGAAGCTGTGGGCTGCTCTATTCCTGATCTGGGCCAGCCTTATGGGGACTTGGACTGGGAAGGCCTGGAGAAGCAGCAGCAACTGCAGTCTCTGGTCAGGGATGGGAGAGTTGCTCCGTGCACCAGCCCAGGAGATTCTTCCTTTCCCTGGCTCCCAAACCCTCCAAGTCTCCCTATTACCTACAATGTCCAGGGCAGAGGAGGCAAGCAGGGCCTTGTCTGGGTTGTTCTCTGCAGAGCTTGGCACATGGTGGGTGTTAGCTGAGCACCTACTATGTGCCAGGCAGTGTTCTAGAACTGCAGCTATAGCAGGGCAAAGACGGACCTGGGCCCACGCAGTGAGGGCATCAGACACTGAACGCAAACTCACCACCGCCGAGAGCAGCACGTCCACCTTCTCCCATTAACACTCCCATTATCACTCCCTAAGGAGAAACAGCTAGTTAAATTAATTAGCTAAATCATTGAAGCTTAATTACAATTAAGCGATTAAATTTGAGTAATTAAATTATTTAAACGTGGATTTAAGAGCCCCTGAGGTGGGCAGGGACTTGGTGCCCTCGGGAGGCGGGGCTGGAAGGCAGGTCCCAGGCCCTGCAGGCCACAGCGGAGAGGCCGGGCAAGCCTCGCAGGGTTTCGAGCTGGCAGAGCTGGGGTCTGGTCTCTGATGGCATTGGCAACAGTAGCAACAGGACCACTCTGTCTGCAACATCCTGTCTGCCTGGCAGATGCCTTTTGCTGCCACAACCCTGCTCCTCACCTCCTCACCCTGTCCCCAGCTCTTGGGTCAGACAGCCTTGAGCCTGATGCTGTCACCCCAGGTTATGTGACCTTGACGATGTTACAGCACCTCTCTGAGACTTGGTTTCCTCACCTGCAGACTGGGGCTCCTAACAGTGACCTTGTAGGGCTGGGGTGCTCTCAGTGCAACCCCATGGAACACAGGGGCCCACGGCGGCCCAGCACAGAGCGGGCGTGCGGCTAGCGAAGCTGCCCCGCGGGTCCCTGCCCCTCTGCCCCTCCTGAGCTAGGTCCGAGTCCAACCTTCTTCTCATAGTCACCTTTAAATCACAACACGTCCCCTGTGTACCCCAGGGACGTATGCATGTCCATGG